TACTTGTGAAATACGAAGGCTAAAAGTTATGTCTAGGTTAATTTTTTTTTAAAGTTGGTCAAACTTCAAGGTCAAAATTATTTCACAATGGAAAGTTCTTGTTATAATAAAAACATATGTGAAGTATAAAATCCTGAACACCAACTGTTGCAAATTTGTTGATACAGTTAAAGTTGGGTAGATTCTGACAAAAGTAACAAATGTCCAGGTTAGTAGGTCACAATTATTGATACCCAAAGGAAGATCATTTACACTGAATACACATTTATGTGAAATATTAAAGCTTTATCTTCAAACAATCAGAAGTTATGAGCAGACAAGACAGACCAAAGGACACGGCCAAAAACAAAACAATATACCCCCGAATCTTCGATTCCAGGGTCATAAAAAACATATGTATTTACATAAAATAAGTTCTAAAAAAGATGTAGCATTGTATCCACAAATCTCATTTTAAAATATCTTAATGTTTGATCAATATAAATGAATGCTTTTATGTGAATGCTATTTTTAATCAATCTTTCATATATGTACTCTAACAAGGAAATACTAAATTAGGAATCGACATTATAGTTTCATTTCCCAGATTTAAAGGAAAGTGATAGAGATACTTTTATGTCCTAATTCAACGAGCTTAATTTGGATACCTCTGAGGGGAAAAAAAAACTCCAACGGGACATGAAATCTGGTAGGAATCGGGGATCCTTATATCACAGGTTCGAATCATTTGCGGGACTTTTAGACTGATCCTTCGGATGAGACCATATAAACCGAAGTCCCTTGCCACAGTAGTTGTTTGTAACTAAAAGATTTCTCACTGTTCAATAACCAAGAGTGTGGAGTATAGGTGGAAATTTACAGGCCTCTACCGGCAAGTGGTTAATATTTATACCCCCCGCTTGAAAAGCGGGAGGGTATATAGTAATCGTTAATTCCGTCCGTCCGTCTGTTACGCTTTGGGGTGCCCATCTTTTATCCGCAACTCCTCTCATACCACTGAATAAAATCCATAAAGATACTTGCACATATTCTTTATTACAGAATGCTATTGTGCAGCCTATTTTACTTTTTGATCCGACACATATTTTGGGTTTCACGGCCACACCAGAACATGGACTTTGCCATTATAACTATATGTAGGCGGGGGGTATCATTTAGTGAGCTCATCGCTCACAGTACCTCTAGTTTTAAAACATGTCCTTCCTATATATTACTTTGTAAAAATTTGACCCTCCATTGCGGCCCCTCCCTATCCCAAGGGTTAGTGACTTGAGTAAATTTAAATCTTCACTTATTGCAATTAATTTTTAGCTCTACGATCAGAGACAAGAAGAGCTTATGCGAGAGTAATGCGTCCGTCGTCCGTCCGTCTGTCTGTCTGTCCGTCTCTGTCTGTCTGTAAACTATTTTTCAAAATGCTACTCCTCCTACAGTTTTGGTCCAAGTTCAATATAACTTGGCACACAAGAAGACTATTCGAAGATACTTACCGGTAATTCTGTGCATCGGTTTTTCATTTCGATGAACGGTGTTGCCGTTGTTACTAAAAATAGAAATTTTTTGCTTTCAAAATGCTACTTCTCCTACAGTTTTTGTCCGATTTCCATATAACTTACCACACAAGTAGACTATACTAAGGTACATAATTCTGTGCATCGGTTTTTGATTTCGATGAACGGTGTTGCCGTTGTTACTAAAAATAGAAATTTCTGTGAAATGCTTTCAAAATGCTACTCCTCCTACAGTTTTGGTCCGATTTCAATATAACTTGGCACACAAGAAGACTATTCTAAGATACATAATTCTTTGCATCGGATTTCATTTCGATGAATAGTGTTGCCGTTGTTACTAAAAATAGAAATTTCTGTGAAATGCTTTCAAAATGCTACTTCTCCTACAGTTTTTATCCGATTTAAATATAACTTAGCATATAAGTAGACTATACTAAGATGGGCAGCCCCCAGCCAATAAGGTGTCGGTCCGCCAACGTCTGTTGCTCCAGAGGGTGCCTGGAGCTAAATGTTAGCCAAACATGGAAAGCAGACGGAAACCTAGTAACCCAACAGATACAGCAAAACGAAATTGTCCATCTTGCGACTGGCAAGCTGGAATGTCAGGACAATGTGTCCTGGCCTATCTGAAGATCTCCAACAGATTGATGACTCCAGGAAACGGCCATTATCAACCGAGAGCTGAGAAGGCTTAACATTGACATTGCTGCCTTACAGGAAACCAGACTCCCATCAAACGGTAGCCTAAGAGAGGAGGATTATACATTCTTCTGGCAAGGAAACGAACCAGAGGAATCACGTATACACGGTGTAGGATTCGCAGTGAGAAACTCTCTACTTTCATCAGTGGAACCGCCTCAAAAGGGTACACCCAGAACCCTGTCTCTTCGCCTCTCCACCTCCTCCGGGCATGTCAACATTCTGAGCATCTATGCTCCCACACTCAGCTCCACAGTGGAGACAAAGGATACGTTCTATGAGGCGCTTGAGACTACCATCAGTGAGATCCCAACCACAGAACAAGTATATCTGCTTGGGGATTTTAACGCAAGAGTGGAAACTGACCAAGAAGCTTGGCCTCGCAACATCGGCCACTTTTACGTGGGGAAACTAAGTGATAACGGTCAGCGACTTCTTGAGATATGCTTCTACCACGACCTGTGCATAACCAACACATTCTTTGCCACAAAGCCCCAACACAGAGTCTCATGGCGTCATCCTAGATCAAACCATTGGCACCAACTGGACCTTGTGATCACCAGAAGACGCTCACTGAACTGTGTCCTGACAACCCGCAGCTACCACAGTGCGGACTGCGATACCGACCACTAACTTGTTGGCAGTAAGGTGCAACTCCAGCCCAAAAGGATTCATCGCTCCAAACAGAAAGGACGTCCACGAATTAACACAGCAAGGACAGCAATGCCAGATGTTTGTGCACGCTTTGTTGACTCTATTGAAGAGGCCCTTCGTAACTGCCCCACCAGCAGTGCTGATAAGAGGTGGAACTACATTCGTAAAGTCATTTACACTTCAGCGATGGACACTTTTGGGAAGAGAGTGAGACAAAATCCAGACTGGTTTGAAGCAGGAATTACAGAACTCGAACCAGCAATCACAGCCACAAGAATCGCCCTGCTCAACTACAAACGTGGACCTTCAGAGAAGACACTAGCTGAACTCAGAAAGGTCAGAAATGACGCTCAACGGATAGCTCAACGCAGCGCAAACGACTACTGGCTGAATCTCTGTCAAGGTATCCAGCATCCCGCTGAATGTAGTAACATTCGCACCATGTACGAAGGCATGAAGAAAGTTTTTTGTCCGAGCATCATCAAGACAGCGCCGCTGAAAACAGTCTCTGGTGACATCATCATTGACAGAGGAAAACAGATGGAGAGACACTATTAAGAGCTCTACTCAAGAGAAAATGTCGTCAGTGTCACAGCTGTTGAGAACACCAATGTCCTACCAGCTATGGAGGAACTTGATGCTCCACCTTCAATTGATGAACTCAGTAAGGCCATCAACTCCCTAGCCAGTGGGAAAGCCCTAGGTAGCGATGGTATTCCCCAAGAGGTTATCAAAGCGGGCAAAAGTTCCACTCTGTTACATCACCTGCACAAGCTGTTACTCCAATGCTGGGAAGAAGGAACAATTCCACAAGACATGCGCAATGCTAACATCGTAACGCTCTACAAGAACAAAGGAGACCGCAGCGATTGCAACAACTACCGTGGAATATCCCTACTCAGCATTGTTGGGAAGGCATTCGCCCGAGTAGTGCTTAACCGGTTGCAGAAACTAGCAGAGCGAGTCTACCCGGAGGCGCAGTGAGGTTTCAGAGCAGAAAGGTCAACCATGGTCTTCTCAATAGGTCAACTACAAGAAAAGTGTAGAGAAAAGAGACGCCCATTGTACATTGCCTTTATTGGCCAAACCAAGGCATTTGACCTGGTCAGTAGGCAAGGTCTCTTTACCCAGCTACAGAGGATTGGATGCCCTCCAAAGCTCCTGAGGATAATCTCGTCTTTTCACGAAGACATGCAAGGCACCTTCCAGTATGATAGTTCATCCTCAGATCCCTTCCTCATCAAAAACGGCGTAAAACAAGGATGCGTACTAGCCCCAACGCCTTTTGGTATCTTCTTTTCCCTGCACCTGTCATACGCATTTGATCAATCAGAAGACGGCGTGTATCTTCACACCAGAAGTGACGGAAGCCTCTTCAACCTTGCGCGTCTCCGAGCAAAAACCAAAGTACGCAAGGTCCTGATCAGAGAGATGCTCTTTGCTGATGATGCCGCCTTGACTGCACACACAGAGCAGGCAGTACAACGACTCATCGACCGCTTTTCCAATGCATGCGATGAGTTTGCTCTCACCATCAGCATCAAAAAGACCAACATTATGGGCCAGGATGTCTGCTGCACTCCCAAAATCTCCATCGACGAACATGTCCTTGAAGTTGTGGATTCATTCACCTACCTTGGGTCCACCATATCAAGTAACCTGTCCTTGGATACAGAGCTAAATAAGCGCATTGGGAAAGCAGCATCAGTAATGGCTCGGCTGGGAAAACGAGTATGGGACAACGCCATGCTGACAACAAACACCAGGATAGTGGTATACAAGGCGTGCGTACTCAGCACGCTCCTGTACGGCAGCGAAGCCTGGACCCTGTACTCTCGCCAAGAGCGTCGACTAAACACCTTCCACATTGCCTCAGAAGAATTTTAGGCATCAGCTGGAAGGATCATGTCACCACATAGACAACGGCCGTATACCGAAGGACGTGCTGTACGGAGAGCTGGCAACTGGATCAAGACCTACAGGAAGGCCTGTTCTTCGCTACAAGGATGTCCTAAAACGTGACATGAGGGCCGGGGACATCGACCCGGCGTGTTGGGAAGCAGTGGCTGCTGATCGAAATCGATGGAGGCATGCTGTCAAGGCAGGCCTCCAACTCAGCGAAAGAGGAGGGAAGAACAGTGGGATGAGAGAAGACAGCGCAGACGACAAAGACTAGCTTCAGTCCCAGCTCAACCAAGCGAGCATCACATCTGTGCGAACTGCAACAAAGCATGCCGCTCCAGAATCGGACTTTACAGCCACAGTCGGCGCTGCCACTCAATCACAGACTGATTCTGATCTTTGGCACGATCTCCATTGTCTCTCGAGACAGAAGGATGCCAACAACTAAGATACATAATTCTCTGTATAGGTTTTTGATTTCAATGGACGGTGTTGCCGTTGTTACTTAAAATAGAATTTTTTTTGGAAATACATTCAAAATGCTACTCCTCCTACAGTTTTGATCTGAACTCAATATAATTTGGCACACAAATAGACTACATTAAGATACATAATTCTGTATATCAATTTTTTTTTTTAATGCAAGGTGTTGCTATAGTACTTAAAATAGAAATTTCTGTTAAATAATTTTAAAAAGCTATTACAAATACAGTTTTAGTTTGATTATAATATAAACGGGCATGCAGATAGACTATACTAAGATACACTATTGTTTTTATCGTTTTTTTAAATTTATTTTGATGAATGGTGTTGCCATGGTAACTTAAGTTGAAATTTCTTTAAAATTTTATTAAAGCTACTCGCCTACAGTTGTAGTCTTATTGCAATATTGCCACATAAAGTGACTTAATCAAGATTCATTTTTCTGTTTACTCTATTGTAAAGTTTCAAGTCCCAATTGCTACTTTTCTCTTCTTTTGTTATAAGTATAAACCAGTAGAGCTTAGGGCTGTGTATTGGGCCAAAAATTTCGATACGATACGATACAATATTTTTTAAAGCGATATGCGATATATTGGATTCTAAAATAAGTCATTAAGAAAAGGCTTCTAAATCATTTTAATGCATGAATTTCATAACAATTGAGTGTTTTTTTTACCCATTTTAAAGTTCTTGTGTCATTGTCATTACAAATAACACTTCAAAATAAAACTTTTAATGACAGTACATGTTCAAATAACAATAGGCCCATGGGCCTTATAGGTCACCTGAGTATCATGTAACAACTTTCCAGCGATTGTATTTGGTTCATGTTTTAAGCCAAAAGCCATGAAATTCAAAAATTTTGAAAGAGGCACCATTGCTTATCAAAAGGCAGATTTCAAAGCATTAATTTGTTTTTAGTCAAAGTACCCCCCTGGTACCCCTGACCCAGCAGCCCTGAAATTATCTATTTTGAAAGAGGCTGCTTTCTTCATTACAACCAGCATTTTTTTTTTTTGTTTAGGTTTAGT